TACTATGAAAAAAATTGTTAAATAAATAATTGGTTATTATTATTGGGAATCTCATGAATAGAAAAGGAGTTTTCCGATCGAAAAATATGGATTTTCAAGAATTATATACCATTTCTACAAAAAGTTGTTTTTTTCATATAAAATACATGGAAAAATTTAAGCGCTTTGAGTAACTTACAAATATTTTTTGATTTCAATATAAAAAATAGGGGTATATATATATTTCGGTATAGAACAATCCTAGGGGTTGAGATCATACAAATTCCGACTTTACTTTTTCACAGGCATTTTTGGACCACCCTAATGTACATACATATGTAAGAATTTGAGAACTGAAATATTTTATCTCCTTTGTTTGAGATATACATAAGTACATATGTATGTATGCGCGTAAATATGTATGCTTTTTAGGGACACCTGTTACATCAACGAGCCCTCGGAATATACAACCATTTTAGGTCAGCCGGGCGCACACTAAATGACAAAGAGTAGCTGTACATACCCGTATGTAGATTGCACAATGTAAATACATATCGGTATGTACTAGAGTTGGCTTCTTTAGTTCGCTTTAGAGATTAGTTCACTTCTAGTTCTTTCTGCTCAATGAACTAGCTCTTCTGAGTCTTAGTTCGTTCACCTTATTAAACTATAGTTCACCTAATTGAAATAGCTCGGTAGTAGGAGCTGAGTTATAAAACAACAAAAATGTATGTTTTATAACACATATGCACATACATACATATAATAGATTGCAATAACGACACAATCCAGTCGTCCTCATTCATTCGTCCTTCTCCAAAATCGTGAAAGGAGTTTTATGGAAATGCGGCAGTGTCTGCATTTAATAATCTTTTCTTGAATTTTGCCTTCGAAATGCGAGAAAATTGTCTTCGCTTTGGCAGAAAGAGAAAGTCGGTTGTTAAACAACAGATCCCAAAAACTCAATTGAAATACTTAGTTTTTAACACTAATCGCACTAACGATGTAGAACATTGAAAATGAAATGAAATAAAATGTCTTCTTAGCGCGAATTCCGATCAGCTGTTCCTTTATGCCCTTACAACGAAAAAGGAGTACCCATATGTGTTGTAAATTTGCAGAAAGCTTTAGCTCACTTTAATGAACGAAATAATGTACTAGTTCAATTATAAAAGCTGGCTCTTTCGCTTTTTAGTTCAAAAGCTCCCCAAGTCTAGTATGTACATATGTATGTTCATACAGCTGAACTCTTCTCCTTATTTGGAACTCCATATGTATGTATGTACAACCACTGGATGCTAGGGCTGAGACCACCTTCTTTTGCGAAGCTCCGCCAGTTGATTACACCGGAAACACTTAAGTCCTTTTGCATTTGGCTCTCCCATTAGTTTTGAGGCGCCCCTGCTTGCTTTGTCAAACCTTGGATGCCGAGTCGGAGAACATTTGGTCGGAGCACCATTATGTATGTATGTATGTATACATACGCTATTGTTCGGCTACGATGGTTTCTGTGATAGTCCCGACTTATAGCCTATTTCCACCAAAAGCTTCAGAGGTCAGGTAGGTTGTAAGAATTTTCACATGGGGTAATCGGCAGGGTTTATTTCTTTATTTTTACTTTGGTTTTCTTATACTTATCATAAGCAGTTACCCCGTTCAATAGGCATAAACTGCAGTTAAGGCTTGGTGAAAATAAATTATTAGTTTGAAAATAAATAAAAATATGTATTTTATTCGCTTTTAAGTCCGTTCAATATAATATGTTTAAATAAAATAGAATTTTTGTAACCCTTTTCTATTTAACGGGCCACCCTAATAAACCATCGATATTATCGATCGTTATCTATAAAACTATCGAAAACCATCGATGGTGCAACTATCGATTGTTTTGCAGCACTAGCGCTTACACACTCTGAGGGAAAAATAAGAACAAACTAACTCGATTTTGAGTATATGGAATCTAAATATTTCATTCTTGAAATAAGAATTTCGTACTCAAATCAAATATGATGCTTCTCTATTATACGTAAGAGTATTTTATTTTAAGAAACATTATAAATGAGTTGGGTTAGTTATCACAACCTTTCATACTTCGACTTAGTATGTTAGATGTAGGGATGTGCCGGGTGCCCGGTAGATATCCGGAATCCGGCTTATCCGACCGTTTCTCTGTTATCCGACTATCCGGCCGGATACTGGCTAAAATCCGGCCAGATTTCCGGATTTCTATTATAGAAGATTCAATTAAAAGCCAGTTAACTTTTTTTTGTATTCTTGTAATCAAATTTTATAGTATATAATTAGTAATTAAAGTTAAAGATTTATATATTTTTCGTTATGAAAATAAGTATTTCGGCATTTCCGGCCAACTACCTATTTCTGTTTTAAACATAAATGCTACTGGAGCCACTGGGAAGGTGGCTTGCAGAGATACCTCATTGCCGGTGTAAACAAATTTGAAAAATCTTTGCGTCTATGCCTCCACCAAAGGGGTGGCTGTAAATATTTCTCCATTTCTCCATCGTTTGGCTATCCACATCTCTACAAAAACTGGAATTAGCATCAGAGCCGTTGCACTGAGAAAAAAATCAACCAAAAATTGGACAATATTACCAAATTCAAACTTGAAAAGGAATCAACGTGATTTTTGGTTAATATTAACAATGCCTTGGTTGATATTTTCAACAATGATTTGGTAATATTAATCACACTTTTGTTTACGTTAATCAAAGTTTTGGTTGTCAGTTTTTCGTTTGAATACGCTTATGTTCTGCTCTTCACAGATACTTTTTCATGATTCGGAGATATAAAAAAAAATGTTTTGCCGCTTTAAAGATGTGTATGTAAATGTTCAACTTGAATCAATTTTCTTTGTCGTTTGATTTGGTTCTGCACTTCACAGATGCTTTTTCGTAATTAAGAAAAACCAAAAACAGAAAAAATATAAAAATGATTTGTTGTCGCTGATGGCATTCGCACTTGAACCCGCTGGAAGCCAAAAAATAACACCAAGCACCTCTGCACGTTCAGCTACAGCCAGACAAACAAATTTGTTCAACTTGAATCACATTTCTTACAATCGGTGTATTAACCATGAAAAAAAAACAAGCAATAACTTGGTTGAAAAACCCATTGTACTTTTGGCTCAGTGTGGCGATTTCCTCAAAGCATTGGCGAATATCCTGATGAGCTTGATCTTCAATAGAAGCTTTCGGCCTTTTTCTTAGGATTCTATGCTAACGAGTTTTGAAACGTGGGTTACAAAATATTACAACAATGAAGCATTACAGGACGATACGGGAAGCGGGACGATATGTAAGCATGTATAATATTCAGGGTTGGGCACGCTGCACTAAATTTTTAATGCGCTGAGCATTTCGTTACCACTATTCGTGTAGTGGTAGTGAAATTTGAAATGCATTAGCACTACGTGCACTAGCACCATACAGTGGTAGGGAATTTTTTTTTCACTAAAACTGAGCACCTAGTGGTAGTGAAATTTGAAATGCATTACCACTAAGTGCATAGTTGACAAATTGTTTTCACTACCACTATGCACTTAGTGGAAATGCATTTCACTGCCACTATATAGTTAGTGGCTATAAATTTTTCAACAATTCTGGAAAGTGGGTATTAAAATCATAGATCGCCAAATTTTCGTAAATTTGTAAACTAGTGATAGTCTAACCAGATAGTGATACTGAAAATTCTATTTCACTATAACTATGTAGTGGTATTGAAATTTGAAATGCACTTTCACTAACCATATAGTGACTAAAGCCCTAGTGCTAGTGAAAATTTCGATGTAGTGCAATATACTCAACCTTGATAATAGTTAGATTTTCATCACATTTTAAAATAAAAATACATTGTCGTTTATCTTTTTTCTTTGACGTTTCTCCTCTCTTTGCCAAAAATAATCGATAAATCCGGGTTGTATCTTTTAAATACAGGATTATTTTATAACTTAGTTTTCAGATGAGAAATTTTGTATTCTTAATTACGCATTTGATAGTTCAGCTCGAAAAAGCAGATAATCTGGCAATAAGTATGTATGTCGCTAAACAAAAAAATCGAATACAACAGTTTTGTGAAATTTATTAAGGTCAGAAATCTACCGGATATCCGAACGGATATCCGAATCCGGCTCATATTTTTTACATGGTATCCGGAATCCAGTTATCCGGCAAAATCTCTATCCGGCACATCCCTAGTTAGTTGTATGTATATGAACAATATTTTCACAAAAAGACGCGTGAAAAAGGGAATGATATATAGGCTGACTTCGAAACCGTCAATTGCTTTGCAAACGCACAAAGCATAATGTTCCATAACGCCGAACTACAAAATATTGGCAATTATACTTTTCCAAAACGCAACCAAGAAGTTATCGAAACGCATCGCTAGAGCAATCAGCGCATCAGAAACACAATGTTCATGCTTCGTTTGTTATTGGTTACAATTGGTGTTAAAAAGGAAAAAAATTTGAAGGTATTTTTAATAAAATATTAAGTTAAAATATTTTTAAATTGCTTAATATAGCAGAAAAAAGTGATCACGGCACAGAGAAGAAACTTAACTTTTCCTTGAGTTGTGAGAATAACAAGCACAACAAATTTGACGACTAGTAATCTGAGATTTGCCTGCGTGAACGGGGTGATTAACAAACTCGAAATTCAGATCGGCAAACACAACTGCTTATGGATCGTCAGATTCAACCCAATTAATACAAAAACAGGTATAGCAAGTTTTTTAGTTAGTGTATGTATATATGTAATCATGAAGAAAAAAATATTTGCATTAATTGATGGTAAGTCCTATGCATTGATTTGTGCAATAAAATTATCCTATTTTCCTTTTTTTAGTCGATCGCACCTTAGACCTAGGTGTGCGATGTTCTATGTATTTTTGAGATATACATAGGTTTGAATAAAAATAAATAAATTTCAAACAAATTCTACACATACTATACTTAGTACATACTTACACACTTTTCCGCTGAAGATAACGACATCTGCAAATGTGTATGTATATATTCGTTCTGTTTATTTAATTTTTATTTCTGTATGTAGTATTTACATATGTACACTTCATACATCATAAATACATATCACTTCATATTTTTAGTAATGTAATGTACAGTGTACTCCCTTCTACCTTCACCAAAATCATATACATACATACATACATATGTATGTATGTTTTTTTATTATATTTTTATCAGTCCAAAGTAGCTGCGGTTATTGACATCTTTTAAAATAACATTTCGATCACTATGGAAATCGCGCAAATGAATTGTTTCATTCTCTTTGAGATATATGAGGCCGCTGGTGTGGCAGGTATGTATTTTGTGTGGCATATTTGTTGGTACTGTATTCAAGCATTGAAGAAAAGGCTTATGACCATGGAATATCACGAAACCATTCTGGTCGTGTGTATTGTTGTAGCACACCTGGGCGTATACGTAATAAAGACCCGGTTCGCGTATGGTTAATACACCATTCTCCACTCTGAAGTAGTTATCAACGTCAATTTCATTCGCCCAACTGGGATGACCGATATACATATCACCAGAGTATGCTATTTAATATAGAGAAGAAAGCAATCAAAATAAAACGATTTCAACGATTACTGAAATTGCTGAATTTTAGAGAAGCAATAATTTTTTAAATCAATTTTAGAGAATTTTTTTTGTAAAATCATTAAATATCTTTGAATATTAAAAGTGATAAATCGATCAGAAGATGGCTATACAATACTTACAATCGACCCTTATACTGGCGTAACGGTCTGGAATTTTACGATTTAAATGAAAATGTGCTGCTGGAGTATTGGTTGCAGGGAGTATTTGACGCGACGATTTGGCTGAAAAGAAGTAAATCACCAGGAAATTTTAGAGCGGATTATATACATATGTACATAAGCACAAATTAGTGCTAGTACAAAGCCTAAGGACTTTGAGTTTTTGGCGAGAATTTGAAGATAAACCAATAAGAACCAAACAAAATACTAAATTATAGTTTGACAATAACCTACCACTTTTTACTATAGCATTTTTATATCGCCGGTTACCCACGTGATGCCTGTGGGAATGCTTTTTCACCACTTCCCGGTTTGCACTACTTTTTTGATCAATATTAACCTCAGATACTTTGCTACGATGGGATGGTAATCTGCAAATATATATATATATATATATAATTTAGTTTCCTTACTAAATAATTTTAACATTTTTTTTTCGATTAGTAAAGTCAAATTACAATGCGAATTCATATAAGCCAGCGAGCAAAAATAGCTTTTATCTCGAATTTAAAAATTGAAAACGTTGCCCGAATTCTGAAATTTAACGAAAACGTTGTTTCATAGCAGTTATTAGATGAAAAATATTTTTTATTTCGCCGAGAAGAGTTATAACCGAATGTTTATTTTTTACGTTACTCGATAACAGTTATTATCCAAAGTTTATTTTATACGTTGTCTAATACACGTTGTAAGATAAGAATATTGACGAAAACGGAGATGGAGATGGAGAAGAAGATAAATATGATGAAACTAAAAGAGGAGGAGTAAAATAACTGTCAACAGACAATGTAAAAATAAATGCTGGGTAATAACTGTTATCAAGCAACGTAAAAAATAAACGTTGGGAAATAATTGTTATCAACCAACGTAAAAATAAACGTAGGTAAATAACTCTTATTTGCGACGGAAAATATATTTATCCTACATAGCAGTAATCAGGCAACATAAACAGCAAACGTTGGGTTATAACTCTTGTCGGCGAAATAAAAATGATTTCTCAACTAATAACTGTTATGGAACAACGCTTTTCCAAGTGCAAAAATTTTGTATTTCGGTGGTGAGTGAGTGAAACGTGACTAGATCTATATTTTCTTTCCCTCTTCCTTCTTAGCTACAACTAAAATTTGACAGCGGATTTGTAGAATCGATACCACCTTATATGAATTCGCCTTGGTCAAATTATGAAAATTAAGAATTTTCGACTCTCATTTGACTGCACTAATCGCAGTTCGCACTTTTTTCGGATGCAGACATTATTTTAATAGTGTTTGAATTTAAAGAAGCTAGAAAACAAATCCATAATCGCCTTTTTGAGTTATCCTCAAAGAGCATATTCTGGTCGCACTGGTTCTTTCTTACCTGAGCATCAAAATTTCTCTCTGCTGATAGTTAGATTCCTTTTCATTTTCGCTTGTTCTGCTTTTGATTTTAAATGTCGTATTTCTTTTATGATCTTCGCTCGATTGATCTGGTTTGATGGAACGAGGTTTACGCGCGCTACAAAATATATATATATATATATACATACAGAATATATGTACATACGTAAACAAAAAGTTAGTTCTAGAAAGTTCTGTAAGAGTAGAGAAAATAATGTAAATAATGTACCCTATCTTCTTCCGTCGTGTGGAATTAAATTTAGAAAAGTCACTATAAAAATCCCCTTCATCCGACATGTCCATTTCATCTTCGCTCGCATCATCTTTGTCATCTCCATCTGGAATGCCATCAACAGAGTCCTCTGCTTCATCATTTTCATCTTTATTATCCAAATCATCATCATAATTCATAGCAGCCAATTTTTTTCTAAATTCCTCGTAATCAAATTCAGTTTCATAATCCTCTTCATCTATGTCTTCATTATCTTCATCATCGATTAACTCGTTTTCGCCATTGTCAAATATTGTCGGCTTATCTATAAAATCGGGATTATGCTAAAAAAATGGAATTTAAAAAATGATATTGATTTTAGTGACTCGCTTAACGTAAACTGAAGTCGTCAACAATGGGCAAACTCATAAATACACTCTTAATAATGGAATTCACTGACAGGCTTATAGTCTTAGTAACTAGAGAGAAGTCTAACAGCCAGTTTCACCAAATTATTTAAGTGAAAATTACTTTAATTTTCGAATTTTCGGTTTCACCAATCAATTTTAATTTTGATTTAAGTGACCTATGCTCTGCACTTAAATAAAAGTTAAATCAGAACAACCACACTCAGAGGTGTTACACGTTTAATCACCTGATCATTGTGTATCTGCTGCTTACTTGTATACCAGCCCTGCTTTTACAACACAGCGTGCCAAAGCTTTCAAAAGCTCTCAGTACAAATGAAAGCGAAAGCTAGTCCTAGTCTGTTTTACAACCACTTTTTACACACTTAAATAAATAGTTTATTGAAACTGAAAATTATTTAAATGAGAATTAAATACAAAATTAAATTAAAGTTAATTTCCACTTAAATAGTTTGGTGAAACTGACTGTAAGAGTAATTTTTATGAATAACCAAATATTTATATTAGAGTGGTTCAAAAAAATTTTTTGTTTAAATTGATAAACGCTACCTCAAATTATCAAGAATGATAGAATACAAGATTGCGCATTCCTGCGGGTGATGACGTAAACTTAGCCACGAATGGAGGAGATGGAGAAGAGAAAAATATGTAAACTGTCAAAACATTAAAATTTGTTTATATTAACTGAACGCGTGAAAATAAAATTACTTACATATATAAATAGTGCACAAATAAAACCAAATGATAATTTTGCTTCGTAAGAAACATCTGGCAGTCTCTTATTTTATTGTTCATATTTACATATATATGAGTGTCGTTAAAACCTAATAAAAGTCCAGCGATCGCGAGGAAGACACAATTTGGGAACGGTTTAGTTATTTGCCCAATGATTTCGGGCTACTGTATCCGAATGGATGACGCGATCTACAAAAAGTTAATACACATTTGTAACCCAAAATGAAAACTTCATTTTAAAACCTAATCGTCAACACGAAAAGGTCTTCTGCACAAAAAACCCGTTTAACCGGGTTTTCATTTCTGGTGACAAAATGCTAATTTGAGACCATTTTCCAAAAGCTCCCCAGGCCCCTCCCTCTCTGCTCTCTAACCCAAAAGCAGTGTGAAAAAGACTAAACGACCCTATTACATACAAACATACATACATGCATACATACAAACATTTGCTAAAATGACGTTACACGAACCGCTGATTCTGTCAAATTCGCCAAGAACAAAGTAGCGGTACTGCTGATTGCGTCACCTCTGTCTCCCTACATCGTGTCAAATTATTGTTATTTGTGGTACAAATAGGAGAAACTTCTTACCAGGGGGTTTCTAGGGTTACTAATTAAGAATCTGAAGTCATATTCTCAAAATTCAAAATGGCGGTTAAGAGTTTCAAACAATCCGCCATTTGAATTTTTTTTAAATCTGACATTTGATCTGAGTTTAAACCCTTGACAATGCTTAAAACGTCCAGTTTCAACGTTTTAATTTAAGTATTTTTTTTTTTTTTGATTTGATCGGCATATTGGATCCGCTATTTTGAATTAAAAAAATTTATTTCAGATTCATAATCAAACCCTTAAACTCCCGAATGCCAAGTTTCGAACAAATCCAACCATTTTACTAAAAATGTATCACCATTTTGGATCCGCCAATTTGAATTTTGAAAAACTGACTTCATTTTCCTAATTAGCAACCCCAGAAACCCCCTGGTAACAAGTTTTAACCCATTACATTTAACTGTCCAGGCGAGGACCTCTAACAAAACTTTTTATCAAAATAAAAAAATATGTGTCTATTTTTTTAATCACAAATAACAATATTTTGATGTAGCGTTTATGAATAAAATCGAGTAAATTTTTTTTTCTATGGATACTTTTTCGAGATATTTGCAATTTACCGTTATTCAGCTTAAAGCAAAAATTGATTCATTTTAAGCACGTATATCTTACGAACCAATTGAGTAATCGTAATACGAGATACGGCAAATGAAAGCCAATTAAATTCTCCATAAACCGTATATACATCACTTTCCGATAGGGCTTATAGTTTCTGCCAAATTAACTAATCACTCCAGCTTTTTTTTATTTTTTAATGAAAAAAATCAAACTTTAACAGAAGAAAATTTAAAAAAATAAAAAGTTCTGTGCCAAATTTTTGCATTTGTACTAAAGCCTGTTCTGTTACAAAAAAAAAATCAAGTTACTGATGAAGAAATTTTATGGATAAATACGAAATAAGGAGTGGTCAAATGAAAATCCGCAAAGATTTTTTGTATGAAATACGAGCAGTAAAGCGTTTTACTCGGGTATACGTGGCGTATGAGTAACTTTCTTTCCTGCTCATTTTCATTTGACCACTCATTATTTCGTATTTATCCATCGATTTTCTTCATCAGTAACCTGTTTGGCACAGAACCTGTTATTTTTTTAAATTTTTCTTCTGTTAAAGTTTGATTTTTTTTTTTAATTTTTTCAATAAAAAATAAAAAAGCTGGAATGATTAATAAATAATTTGTCAAAAACTATTAGCCCTATCGGAAAGTTATGTATATGCGGTTTATGGAGAATTTCATTGGCTTTCATTTGCCATATTTTATATTAAGAGTTTTTAATTGGTTCGTATAGTCACGGAAAAATCACTACTACGGCAAATTGACTTATGTCACTTTCAAAATAAAGAGTTTAGAAATATTTCTGACTTATATAAATTTAGACCAATGTATTTTACTGAAGTGATGTTTTGAAAGGACAGTAATTTACTAAAATCGATTAATAAATAACATATGTATGTTTGTTTTATATATAGTCTTATTATTTTAAACAAGCAATTCTTGTATATATGTATGTATATAAATATATATGTATGTATGAGTGTATATAAATAAGACGTTTCACATCAAGCGGCGCAGAGCTTTGTCCGAAACTCTAAGCATCTAAACATACATATATAGGGTATTCACAACGGTGTCGTAAGTGTCGTGTTGTTGTATGTCGTAAACTTTAAACGCCTAAAAAATATATTAAGTGGGTTCGCAAAGTACTATCAAAGTCATATTATGAATTTTTGCAGTGTTAAAAAATAGTTAGTTGTCGTTTTAAGTTCTCTAAACATTTATTTAAGCTCCCTCAGATAAGAATCCCTCAATAGTAAGTCAAAATACTCGTAAACTAATACCCTTACGATTAGGGAATCCAAACCCGCAATCGCGGGATCCCGCGCCATTTTTGCGGAAGTGAGCGATTACACATGCGGGATCAGTGGAAAGGGTTTTATTAACCTTTCAGTGACTTTTTTTGTGCTCCTGCGTAATTGATTAACATTTTATAGCTAGCTTAAACTCTTTGTACACCTACCGATTTATAAACAAATTATACAAGTGTAGAACAGTCCATTTCTATCGATAAATACATAAATTACATTTGAGCTTCCTTTCAGATACTAAATTTCGAATACTCATAGCTCTGGTTCTATTAGAAGCACACATTCAGCTTTGGTGTAATTTACAAGAGTATGTTATATAGAATATACTACTTTAATGCCATTTTCAAATATCAAACGGTAAAAAAATTATGCTGAAAAACAGGAAAACTTGGTTAAATTTGAATATTCCACAATCACTGATGTTTAAGCTAGTTTTGGGATTACAGCGAGCGGGTATTGTTTTAGATCGGATGAAACACTACCGTAACTCTAATTATGATATATTTTCTTCCGAAAAATATCCAACAGATATAGCGATTTTGACCATATACCTACGAAACTTTGTATAATCACCAAAATCAGAAGTTCCTGATTGTGCAATAAAATAAGGTCGAATTTATTGGATGAAACTTTAAAGACTTTATCATTCCTTCGGAAATATTATCAAAAAAGTCAACCTAATTAAAAGTAAATACGTAGATTTTCTAATCAAATCGTCTTTTTTACATATCAATTTTGAATATAACTCTTTAGAGGAAATAATATGATTTTTTTTT